CTTCCGACATTGAACACCATCTCTCAATGCATAAATTTACTATCCTTGCGGGAGGGGCAATAGCGCTATCTATGACGCCTTGCGGAGATGCGCTTTTTGCTAGTTGAAAACTACTCCAATTCCCGTCGCGAGATTCTAACGGATCCCGTCGCAATTTTTAGGGCGCCTCGCATGAGGCAACTTGTAATATAACTTGGCTACAAAATATCTCCAACCCTTACATTCGCGATTCCCTGCTTGAAACACTCCCTTGATGTCCTTTTCCATCCTCAACCTTGAAGGCGATCCATGCGGCCCCCGCTCCCCTTGGACAATGATGGTAGTAATGCGCACTTTACCTTGGGCAATAACGTAGCTGATGTCTTCTTATTCTTCTTATTCAAGTAATGATGATGAACCTTCAACCTTCCGAGGGGGAACCTTGTCCAGGGGGTAGAGGGGGAGATGTTCAATAAGTGCATGTCCTCTGACAATACGCTGTGCCAGAAAGGGTCGTCACTGGCATTCACCTCTTGGCTGCAGCCCAGAGAGCGGACCTGATATTTACCTTGAGCCAGATGGCTACGGTGATATACTATGGTCGGAATAGCAGTCGTGTTGGTTGCATAAACTTCCCACTGCGTCTCGAAATTCCCAAATACGACCCTGGGCTCCTTTATTACTATGTTCTTTTGTGATCCGTTCACTTGGTGATGATCTCCTCCAGTCTTCTCATCTCATTCATCTCCAAGTGTTCAGGGCATAAGTGCTGTTAATAATAATAATAATGACCAACCACACACTACAGAAGACCGTTGCATGTAATCGGGCGCGAGTTCAATTCCCGGCTACAGGACTTTTCGGTCATTTGATATCAGGCTGTGGGTTCAATTCCCGCTAGCTGTATTTCGACTGACCCAGGTACGATACCCGGGTACGATGCTCGGGTGCGATACCCAGGTTCGATTCCCGGACACTGCAATTTTCTGACAAGCGTATCATCATCATTCATGATCAATACAAAGGTTCGATTCCTGCCAAGTACATTCCGCTTTGCCCAGGTTCAACTCCCGGTCGCTGCAACTCTTCCATGGATCCATCAATCATGTCCGATACGTGGGTTCAATTCGTGCTGAGTGCATTTCTATTCATGACCAGGTTCGATGCCCGGTCATGGAAATTCTCCGATGACTATGTCGTTTTAAACCTTCGATTCTATTCCCCTTGCTAGCGCGTTCTTTAGGTGGCCTACCTTATACCACTTCTGACTCCCTCCACTATCTGTTGGGTGTCCCAGATTTCTCTGCGCGCAACCGAATTGGACTCAATCCGACCCGACAACTGGCATCATCGACCCCAAACCTGAGATAAAAAGCATCCACCACTCCCATTATCTCCAATTCCACGATACTTCGGAAATCGTTGGTATTCTAAAGGTTGGATTATGACACTCTAGATGCCATTCTCTCCCATCACCATTGCTTCGCTAGCAGAGTCGAGTCACATCTACTATTTTATTGAAGAAAACTTGTCACTCAGGGGCATTACCTCCTGGTGATTGGTGACGCCAAATTATCAAAAATGACTATCACAGATACTTCCTTCCCTAATTATTTTTCGACCGGCATCACCACCATTTTGTTCTCTATGTGGCGCATCCCCGTGAGAGTGAATCCTCCTGGAACCACCGAACAATCCACTTACATAAGCCATCTAGTTTGCACCGAAGAGAAATCATTTTCACCCGTGACGCTCATATTTTTTCCATTCCAAATCCGTGATGACGCCAAATTACCGCGCTTTCCAGTCAACTCACCCAGAGCAGTCCTCCACGGATGACTACTCACCATCGACTGCGATCGTGGTGCATCCCGATGCAGCAATGACAACCACGCATGTTGACGACACAAAATCAGGGACATTTGAGGAAGAAACTACTGATGGCACGCATGCTCTCTATTACCACATTTCCAACACTTCTACTATCCTAAAAGCTTCTCTACGTCTCTACTTCGCATACCTTCTCGGCCTTTACATACCTGACCCGTCTATTCTTTTCTTAGTAATTTGTACTAAGATTCTTAGCAGAATACCCCATTCTAAGTGGTTATGAACTAAGTCTCTTGCTAAAGCTTCTTTCGTTAGTGATTAATGAATAAGACTCTTAGCTAGCTGGGTTCGATTCCCGCTAGCTGCATTTCGACTGATCCAGGTACAATACCCGGGTACGATACACGATTGAACCCGGGTACACGGGTTCAGTGCCCGGTCATGGAAATTCTCCCATGACTATGTCGTTTTAAACCTTCAATGCCATTCCCCATGCTAGCGCGTTCTTTCGATTGCTTACCTTAAATCACTCCTGACTCCCTCCACTCTCTGCTGCCACTCCCATATTTCTCTGCGCGCAGCCGAATTGGACTCAATCCAACCCGACAACTGGCATCATCGACCCCACACCTGAGATAAAAAGCATCCACCACTCCCATTATCTCCAATTCCACGATACTTCGGAAACCGTTGGCCGGAAATCGTTGGCATTCTAATGCTTTGAATGCCTTCCTCATCCATCACCACTGCTTCGTTAGCAGGCTGATGCAGTCAAATCAAGTATTATGTTCAAGAAAACTTGTCACTCAGAGACATTCTGACATCACATACATTTTAGTACCCCTTACGATTGATAATTACATTTACATATAAGCATACTTACATGACACTTGAAGCATACGAATAGCATTGTAACGATCTCTATTGTTGTAATATATTCGCAGTGGATGACCTTAGGATGAACCCGTATCAGTTCGGCGTCGCAAGATATTTATAGGTTATGATCCTAGGCCACAGTCCCTGACTGACCTTGCCAAGGTCACCTTGGCACTGTGGTCTTTCAGAGTGGCGAAAGACTGCTTTGCCTTGATCTGCGCTATCCTCCAAGATGATGCCAAAGCCCCCTCTCTCAAGGGGAAGCAGCTCCGAACTGACACAGTCTTGCCCAGTTTTGCAAGGACGCACTCTCTGAAGTCGGCGAACTGCTTTGGGTCTTGCTGTTGAGATGTGTTAGGGAATCCCTAATAGGGATCACCTCTATGACGCATCCCCACGAGTTGGATTTTTTGGCCCTAGACAGAGCGACTGTGTAGGGCTGATGAGGCTTTCTGCACCCTTGGGACACTAATTTTGTCCCCTGAGCGGCTTCGGCGACGTCCGAAGATTTGACGGATGTCAAGGTAGATTTCTCAGTTCTAGGCTCCAGGTCAGCGCATGGCGGTGATCACTTTCAACATTGTCGACCATACAGAAATAGTTTCTAGACGAAAATTGCAGAGCTCCCTGTCCGAGCGCGTGATGCTCAGATAGGATAAGATTCAAAGCACGAGAGACTAAATCGAGAATTGACGAGGCATCCAACGATGAAGGGGAACATCCCTTTAGACTCGCTAAAAGGCCTTGATTTTCGACGACGCGTCTTGGTCGTTAGTGTAATCCGTCCAGTTCAACTTGTCTTTAGCAATGGTAGTCTCGACAACCGCGTTGCTACAAGTAGGGGGATCCGCATCAGATGTACTCGCCGGAGTCTTCGGGAATAGGTTACCACTGCTGTCGACATATGTGTCGGGAGGGCGCATCGCACATAGCTTGAAGTTGGTCATGCAAGTGAGACCAAGTCATGCAAGGTAACAAAATAGAAAGATACTTGCGGTGATATACAAATTGTATGATACGATAGTCGCAATATAGCGGCCATACTGATTGCACTACTTTCCAGTATGTCAAGAAATTCTCGAAGGCGAATCTGGGCCCTTTTATTACTATGTTCTTTGATCCGTTCACTCTGGTCTCTTCCACTCTCCCGATCTCCTCCATCCACAGGTGTTCAGAGTATGGGCATTGACAACAATATTGGCCAACGCTGAACAGTTGAGACTAAGATCCTTATCAAGATACCCCACTCCGAGACCACCACAATTTCCCGAGATATTATACATTGGCCCGATAGTGTTCTATATTCACAACAATAGAAATGGTCGAGACGACTTCTACACACTCGACAGGCTTCCTTCACGGCAAAATATAGCATCCAACCATAACGACGAACCACAGACAGATTTTGTCTGACAGAAGTATCCATGTTCGTCTCACCTGCGCTCATCATATACTACAGTGTAGGAATTGACTCACCTGCAGACCATCGTTCGAACGTGATCCCGAGTCTGTGGAACCATTCTAGTCATCCAGAGTTTGGTACGGAGTCTGCGAATCCCCAGCATCTCACTGCATGAGAGAACGACATAGTGGGCCCGGTCGGATACGAATATCATTCATCCCTGTAGAAAATCCGGTAGCATCCGCATGCCAAATGGCCCCGTTATCACGAAAGTTAATAGGAAAGACATCATCGGCTAGCGGAAGTACTTATGCATATGATACCTTAAAGCTTACGTTGACTCTTAGTTATCGCCCGCTACTGAGATCGTAATTCTTTCCTGATTACCAAGCACTGGAGATATTTCTGATCCTTCCTAGGAAGAATGTATTCAACGCTATAATAATAGACAACACAATGACGCACTTCAACCCAAGATGAACAATGACGAAAGTTTCATTCAGAAGGTTTCACACAGAGAGGAGTGATAAAAGCTCCTCAGAAGACAACTACCATGAGCGTGTGCTCAACCGCGATACACCCGACACTAAGAGAATCACATACGTGACGAAACTTCGTTCATGTCATCAACTTGATGTTTCATGTATCTCAACTAAATTATCTTCAAGTAACATGTGGTGTCATACACGCAACCCGTGCTCCTCAGGTATCCTGAGTCGATTGAGCATATTGTCGAGCACTTGTCACATCCAACGGGAATCTGCATGATATAGATGAGCGGGCTATTGCAGGTGATAACAGGCTCAGCATATCCCGGCTTATCGCTCCATCAATCGCGATGATGAAATCTAAGTAATCCAAGGTGGCACTTCCGTTGCCGCACGCTCGAACATAAGCAGTTCCAAAAGTGGACGAGCCGGATGCAGACTCCTCCACAAGGAAGTTGAGCTCTCCAAGATCGACACGTCCATCATGATCCGAGTCCGCTATCGCGAAGATTCGTGATAGCTCCCCAAGCTGGGATTCGGGAACAAGCCTCGCAGCAGCGCGAAGTAGTTCCTTCCTCTGGAGTGGGAAAGCTAAGTACCGATCCAACTTGTGTCTTCCGGCGATTGTTAGTGTACGGGGTGTAATAGAAGGGGACGATGCTAGAACGAAAGGGTGATGTAGTGCCTCTGCAGCTGTAAGACGCTAACATGAGGGTACAATGGGTAAGAAGCGCAATGGGAGCGCAAGTCAGCTCACCCGAGACGGTTCCACAACTAAAAGCCGCCTAACGAGATCCACAGCAGCTTCACTGAGATTTTGCCATGCGGGCCTGTTCTTGATGATGCTGCCGGTCTTGACGCGATGCACAACGACCTACTGGCATTCATCGGAGGATGCACCAGGCTGCGACCAGGGCTGGTTGATACCTTTGTAGAACGGTCGCCTGACTGCCGGAAAGGAGACGCTGCACACAACATCACATAGAGAACAACTCCAGCGGACCACATATCACTCCTCGTGTCAGCACCCTCTGAGAGATATCTGATGCTACGTTCGACTATTGCAACACACAGGGTGCTCTCACATTTCAGGAGCAGCATACGATAGTGTTCCTACACGCCCTTCAGCCAGCCCTTTAACTGTAGTTCGTAGGTTAACAGCCGCACCAAAATCGCATAGCTTCAACCGGCTTTTATCATGCTTGTCCACGAAGAGAAAGTTTTCTGCCTTTACATCACGATGCACAATATGCCTGGCATGGATGAATGCGAGAGCCTCGAGGACTTGGCGCATCAAAGATGATACCTGCCATTTAACCCACATCATTGTGTTCGCCCCAGCGGAATAGTCGGCTGTGTCAAGCCTATCAGCGGGTCCTATACCACGATTACTCACTTCGGCCTCCGGCAATCCCCGGGACAGTGTCGGATTCTCCCGTGCAGTGTGTACTATGTGATCGTAGAGTTCGCCGCCCCAGCATGCTTCCATAACAATGTGATACAATCCGTCCTCATTCTCGAACACCTAACATTGGCTAGACGTGGCCCGTTGATGACAGATGGGCTGTCTCCTCACTTCAAAAACCCGTATAATTCTTGGATGTGATGGTAAGGCCGAAAGTGCAGCTATCTCCGTAGTGTAGCTCCTGGTCGCCTTATCAGACTGGACAGCTTCATCAACTTGGCAGTCTTTGACTGCTACCAAGCGCCCTTTAATACCGACTTCCTCCGCTAGATATACTTCGCCATAGCTACCCTTGCCTAGTCTCCTTGCTTTACGGTAAATACTTCGGAAGGGGAGCCCTCGATGAATCGGGAAGGCCGATCTCATAGTTCTCTCAGAGGGGATGCATCCTGTAGTAGTAGTAGTAGGAGTTGTAGGGAGGGAGCCGCCACTCAGAGCCTTCATGGGCTGGTTAGCCATCTCGCTTTGGTCGAGTGATGGGACATTCTGGCATAGACTGAATGGGTTCATAATCGGTGCCAGAGCGGCGTTACCCATTACAGGGGTAAACTGACATCAACCTAGCGAGGGGGTTGACATGCTCCAACTATTCTCCTATGCTTGTAAAGTTGACAAATAAGCGGTAAGCTTAGGAAACATCGTTCCAAATCTCAAGTTCATCGAATCGAACGATAAAACCACACTACCTCGAACCGTAGTAGCATTCGACAATGCTGATCCCAAATATACTGGCGTAGAAAAGTATCCAGCAACAACGTATATGACACTTCCTCAACTGAAAAGCCAACACGAGATCCTATCGCTGCGACGACAGTGTTGTGGATGCAAAGGAATCGGCCGTCATCCTTCACATTTCGATGATGCCGTCCTACCTAGTCAAGTAGAATATCACTTGAACACATGCCGGCGAGCTTGGAGGAAACGAGAGACTGTAGAACGATCATAGAGCAATAGTACTAGAGGAGTTCAAACATCATGTTTCAGCTATAGCCTGCGAACATCCAACAACAGCGCTCCGGTTCCTGGTTATCCATCTTCAAGGCCCTGTCGGTGATGAGGGAGGCCCAGTCGGCTTACGAGGCCTCCTTAGACCAGCATAATGACAAATGATACGCATCGCTGCCTGAGATGTATAGGTTCCTTGGAGGCAACGAGTTACCTCTTTCCTACTTCTTTATCCACACGCAGTCGTGGTCCATCGGTTGTATCCTCAACCGCATCAGTATTTGAAGCGTCATCTTCAGGAACAGAACCCTACCAAAGATCATGACCAACTCGGTGACCAAGGCAGATGACAAGAGTATGTCCTGGTCACTCACCCCATGCGCAACCGATCCTCCCAATGTCAACGCTTCAAGGGTAGCACGCAGTACTTCGGGATCGACGTCTTCCTACAGACAACACCAAAAACATGAGAACATCCAACAAACAAATAGAGAACTCGAATCCACCTCCTGCGATGAATTAGCGATGTGTGAGCTCCGGGTCGATTCACTTGATGGTAGCAGAGGTGCACCGACTGATGATCTCACGGGGGCAAGCTAAAGGACAGAAGGAGTTTGCTCAATTCAGTTATTAGGGCAAAGTGTCTCACACCTGTGGTGCCGGGGCATGGTGTGAAACCTTAGAAAGCTTGGATTTCTCCGCACCCTCCGCCGGTGCTGCTGGGCTCTCCTGGGTAAGTATGAGTGCCTGGGAGACTTAAAGTTGTCGAGAGGGAGGTATCAGTCACTCACCCCTTCTCCCCATTCCTCGTCCGTGACAGGGATATTCTCACGATTAAGCATGCCAGTCCCAACATTCGGTGTGTACGTTTTATAATGACTACTTCCTCCACCACGACCTCTTCCTTTTTTCCAATTCCCGGGCGATCCACCAGATGAGCGTCGACCACCATCCTGCCATAACTAATCTCAAGTGCAGCCTCAGCTAATAGCTCACCTGCTGGGGATGCTTTCCCTTCCCATGACCTTTCCGTGAAGAACCTCCTCCATGCCAATCAGCGGAGTGTTTCTTGTGTTGAGAGTGCTGATAATGTTCCCAAAGAGGGTTCGAGTAGCCATCATCGGTGATGCCGTCCAACCTTCGTTCATGTGTGTGATCTCGGGCAACAACGTTGTATCCATGGCTACCCCCAACCGAGGCATCAGAGTCGGCCGCAGCCATGCGTAGAAGGGCGTCTACAACCCGAGAAGGTGACGCCGGATGAGGGTCTTCCTCAAGCTTCTCGGAGGCGACATACTTGGGGAAGGACCTCATTAACCTTCCAACCACATAAAAGCTGCAAGCATGATGATTGTGGCATACTCCCGTGAAAAGTGCATTCGAACGTCCTCAATACTACCACGGACATGGTCAGTATGGTGGCAACTCCAAGGTAAGTATAGTAACAAGAAAGCATGATGGTACGATGAAACAGTAATTATCAGTCACTCACTGCTCCAGAGCCTATGACGTAGCGAGTCACTATTAGTGAATAATTCCAGTCGGGAATAGTTGAACGGGTAGGCACGAAGGAGGGGCTCCAAGTCACGAGGCGTAACACGGTAAAGCCTAGACACAGCAGAAACCTGGTGGCTAAGAACCCGAGCAGCCTTTCTTCCATTTATTATAACGTTTTAACACATCTACCGTCACTGTTCTGCGCGCGTTACGAGCGTTCGCGCCCTTGTGGATGGCGGGATGAGGGCCTTGGTATTCACAGCAACGCTAAGTGCTGCTTAGTGACAGTCTTCTTGTGTTGTACAGAAGAGTATGCATGTTCTTGTCAGAGATTGGTTGCACGCACGTACTGAAGATCATCGACAGTCTAATCCGAATAGCAGTACTATCCCCCCGTATGATGGACCCATACTAGCCATCTCTTGGCGATTCTGTACGTACCCATCGGAACCGTCGTCGCAACAATGAGATCGGCCACCACGTTGATGGCATCAACCTTGCCGAAGTTGAATCCTCTCAGCTCGATACACCAGTCACGAATACAAAATGCAATCGGGGTGCGCTTAGTCATGATCTGAAGTTAGAGGTTGAACTATGATGGTCTCAGTGAAGGCTGATGAATGCCGTCGCAGCAGATGGCGCTTTTGGAATGTACTATTCGGACCGCGAACATACCCCGAGTTTCGCCGTACCTTGAGTAAGCTTAGCGATTCGTCGCATTCTTCGCACACCATTAACAGTGACGGCCGAAGAGGTGATCAGCCTTGGCTGGACTGACGAGGTGCATAGAGCTACTTATTACGGGATGAATAACCAAAACCATCTCGCCCGGCAAGTCTAGGCCGGATAATTGTTGGTTCAGTTCAGCAAGATTCAGCCATCCACCAGACAACGCAATAAACATTATATGAGGTATCAACGATTCTTCAATCGTAACAGGCGCTTTGGTCTGTTTAAAAACGATAATGGTTCTCATCAATCCATAAGGTGGTACTTGTGGCCCAATGATCGGGACCGAATCCACGATGATCCTCACACGGGAAACGTTACCCAGCGACTCATCATCCTAGACTAAGACGACGATGCGGGGGGAGCGAGAACGCAAAAATGAGATGAGAAACGGAGCTAGCCAGAAACCCCCAAAATCTCTCAAAATACACATTTCTGCTGACAAAATCACACAGAAGACATCAGCACAATAGCTCGTGTCGCTGAATGAACGCCATCCAAAGTTCCCTCGATACGGATCAAACGACGAGCTTCCTTCCCCGAATGGACCGACTGGATATCAATCTCTACATGACAATTCGTCGAAATCCAAGTGAGGAACGCTGGTGGTATAGCGTTGCTGCATTCGAAGACAATATTACAAAAGTGAGCATCAACCATAGCATCAATATCTCCAGGAAGGATAGCCAAAGGATCATACACGAGTTTCACCGTATTAGCCAAGTGAGAGCGATCACTCTGTACGGCTAGAGCGATGGATCCACAAGCGAGAGCGGTTAGTCTTCTGTCAGCACCATGTCTCAATATGGACACTTCCATAACTGTCTCTCCCCCATGTTGCAACGTGAATTCATCAGTTGACAGAGTGATGTCAGCAGCCCTAGCGAGCTCTACAGACGTAGGACTACCAAGACAAATGTAAACTGATTCAACGGCGATGTCGGCCAGAATATAATCATGGACGACCTTCATCACGACACTTCTCATCGCCTCGAGGCTCGGAGCGGCTATAACGAGGACTCGCAAGTTGGAATTGGGAAAATATGATCCATAGGGGGATAACTTCATCGCCGTCAAAGTCTCTTTCTCCAGACTGATGAGAGTCGAACCACCATGACCCATGATAACGCCCGCAGTCCCTTCAGAAATGAGCAGCTTGAACCAAAACGGTCCAGCCTTGTAGCGCTCATCCCTGACTCTTGCGGCCAGTTTCGCTCTGGCTTTCCGCTTCCTCGTCGAGCGAGAAGGTATACTTCTGACACCTTGATGCCGGAGTGCTGCAAGTTCAGCCATCTCTACATCGACATTAGAAAGAGCCATCCACACTAGAGGGATAAGGAGAGCAGAATGTACGCGTGCTGATGACGTGGACCTAATGCGCGTGCGTGCGAAATGAAGGGTGGTACTCCGAAAGTTTCAGATTGAGACCTTGTTTCTCTTGTGGATCGAAACTAGCTATGATGTGAGGGCGGTATTGATCATGGCTCATATCATGGGCTTAATTCATCTTTAGATAGAACAACAAGGCACGAATCTGGACTCACAATTCTCGGCATTGACCCCGTCAACAGTGAATTTCGCTCGCCTATAAATCGGCGAAAGCTGATGTTCAGGGGCCTATTTTCACAAGCCATCATAAGTAGCATAAGGTGAAACTGTAGTGAAAGCACCTCGCGTAAGGTGTAAGGCTCCTTGCCCCTCGCTCCTAAATCCAAGGTGCACCTTTAGGAGCGTTTCTTGTGAAATAGGCCCCAGACCTTGAACTTCTAGGTCAAGGGTCATTTCCGCCAAGAGGTGGGGTCAAAATTGGATGATAATTTATGAAGCTAGAGTTTTGTACAGCACGCAGGATAGGTATAACTCTCAAAGTGTGACAGTGTCGATATTTCATGAGCTCGCGGGCTTCTGAAGTACAAATAGCAACATCAAAGGATCGACGAATCTCAGCAGTGGTTTCCTGAGCCGGGGACCTCACACACAGCTATGCATATTCAAACTTTGGGAAGGGCGCAGCTAACAGGTCTAGAAGTGGCCTGCAAAAGAGGGGGACAGTCCCTTAAGTAATGAGTACTATTCCCTTCTCCAAGACCACAAGAACACATGGAGATACTGTTACGACCACGTACAAAGTTGAGATGGGGGCTGGGGCAATGACCAGTAATGAACGGCTGGTCGGATGCTCTGTAGTATAGCTCAGTATGCTCTATGAGTCCATCGGGATTGAGTATTCGCGAGCGAACTGATGTGGAAACGCTGGCCGTGCATTAATCACAGAGTCAAGCGCCTCAACTCTAGTCCCCAAATGTCAACGGATACTTGGCTAGACGACATACTTTCCCTCTCGTCGCCATTTCATGATGAGATGTGATGGAAAGATCCACAGGTGGGACACTTCTCGATCAAGAAATCGTACCGAGTTCCTCTCTAGTATAATGTGATATGATATCACTGATATTTATATCTTCCTCATGCCCTGTACACTGGCTTACCTCCCCTCCAAGAACATCTCTATAAACCGGCGACCAACTCCACTGTGGTAACCATGGTATGGCTGGAGCTTAGCCAGCAGGCTGGACCCACGACTACGTTGTCACCCAACCCTATGACAAAACAACACCGCCTCCTCCATTGTTAACATCGTACTTACGTAAACATCATGCATGCTACACTGTAGCAGCTACAAGAACGTCTCTAGCTACTATTAATGCCAGTAATTGAGAAAACGACTATGTCTCTTTAAGGGCTTAGGCAGAGGGAATATCCTCGGTGTTATTCCGAGTATAGCCCTCATAGTACGATACTGCAGTTGGTCCACACGAAACCACAGCATTGGCCTCCGTCTCGCTGTCGTGGTAGCCGGTACCACAATGATCTCGTCCCTTGGTCGGTCTTCCCTCTTCTCGAGCTCCCCTTCCGTCAGCCATGACCGTGATCGGGGTATCACATCTCGGGTGGTGATAGCCCAAGCATTCTGAGCCCATGCCAGGAACACCTCGCTGGGTAGCTCAATGAGTATGCCTTGCCTGGCCGTTGGACTAGTATAAAGCCTCGCCAAAACACGTGTCTCCCTCTCCACCCATCCCTTTCTGGAGTGGCCTTTATCAATTATTACCGATCGTTTATGTGTGACCGTCGTGTCCTCGAGCATCATCGGTGCTCTCTCGGTATCTCATTAATGCTCAATAGCTCGTCAACTACAGGATCTGTAACGGATGTAGTTACTTGACCCTCCACTTCCGTAGCCAACCACATTATATTCGGACCCAGACTGTCATATTGCATCCAACCACTGGTTGCCATCCCGGTCCCACTAATCTCTGATATCCTATATCCAGGAGCAATCCCTTGTGAGGGGGTCGACTCGACGAGGTCGCTTTCAGAGTACCCATAATATTGTTGATCATTAGATGAGAGGCTGGACGGATCTCTGCGTCTCCTGCCGCTGCTTCCAGTAGATGTACCTTTCCTCCCCTTACTTCTCCTCTTCAATATTCTCGAGCCCCTCTTACATTCCGACCTCCTCTGAGATCTCAGACTTCCCATCGCGTGACGAGTCCGATGAAGCCCTGTCACATGTCTATCGTTGGCGAAACTCTTCGTGCATGAATCGTTGCCGGATCTCCTCGTGCATGACTCGCTGCCCTCGACATTACTTACTCTGCTACTAGTATAGCTACTATCGGTCGATCGGATTTCCTCCTCCTCCTCTTCCTCAAGTTCCCCCCATATCTTTCTAATAACTGTATCAGGAGCAGAAAGCAATTCGAGTCCCCATACCCCAGACAACTCCTCTGTGTTTCCTCGTGCTTCCGATAACTCTCGATATGCTAAGAGCTCTTCAGATGTTCGAGTTCCCCCACCATTAAGAGTATACCCACTTTCGTTGTTGGTTTCGATCCCGATACCCGCATCTCCACCAGAGATAGTATCTTTTGTGCGTAGCTTTGGTGATGTCTGTACAACCGAGGTCGTCATTCTAGTATGACGAGGACTAACCGCTCGATTGGAGTGCCGAACTCGAGGGGTTTGTGAGGATCCCACCCTGGTGAATCCTATCAACTGCTCGTATTGGGATCCCGTCTCTGCCAATCTCGGGCCACTATCACCAACGTTCATTGATCTATACTCGACTAGTGGGCTCTCTGGTCCACTACGTCGGCTTACAGCTACATCGGTGCTTTCTATTGACTCTCGCTCTCCCGCAACTATCGTTGTAATGTTCGACACACTTTTGCTCTGACTGGTAGATGTCTGCGTGATGGACGTGTTGTACTGTACCCTCGGGCCGGGGTTCACTCCTGTACTCCTACATTGCATCTCTGGAGTCGGTTCGATCATGTCCGATGTGGAATGATCGTTATAATTGTGATC